GCTCAGACTTTTTCCACCCACAGTTGGCTGTGTCTGGGATTTGGGAGTGCCTGTGTCTCACACATCAATGGAAGACAGGAAGTGGGGAGCACCGGCAGCGAGCCTGGCTTGGTGCCGGCACACTGCAGGTGTGCAGGCGCTGTTGAGCGGCCATGTGCATGGGCAGCCCTGCTTTCCTGCCTTCATTTTCTTCCTTGGTGAAATGCGGCCCCTGCCCTGCAGGGACGGCGTGCAGGGCTGGCACCCAGCAGGAGAGTGAGCCAACACAAGCACGGATGCTGTGACTCCACTCGCCGCCCCGTGCACCCAGAACACCCACGTTCGCAGACACAGCAAGTGGAATGTGGGACTCCGGGGTCTGGGGTGAGGGAACAGGAGTGGATCTCAGGCTGGGAGCCTGGGTGGCAATGCTCACACGACAGTGAGAATGTGCTTCCTGGCACTTTAATGGCTTGAGTGACGATGCTTATGCCACATGTACTTCTCCAAACCCGACGCAAGCACTGTGAGTAGTGCTGTGTCAGCCGTGCAGGCCTGACACCCGTTGTTCTGAGCCCGAGATTCTGAGATCAACCTGAGTCCTCTCCAGCATTCCCATGATGCCTGCCTTTTTCTCCATCATGTTGAAAGACACACACACACACACACACACACGAGAGAGAGAGAGAGAGAGAGAGAGAGAGAGAGAGAACCTTCCTTTGCTGGTTCACTTCCCGAAAATCCTAACAGCCACCAAAACCCCAAATATGGCAAAGGCAAAAACAACAAAAAAGCAAGAAAACGATTCCCCTGCACTGTGAGACGGAGCGAGCGCAGAGCTGCGGTGCCCAGCAGGTCGCTTCCGGCTGTGGGCGGCCGTCTGTGCCTCCTCTGCCCGCTCCTAGCCAGTGCTGGGGAACACGGCCCCCTTGCTTTTCTCAGCATAGACTCCAGGTCTAAGTCACAGTGTGCAAATCTGGGACAATTTTTCGGGAGAATCCTATGCTCACTGCTGAGAGAAAATGAGGTTTCAGGAGCGCTATGGCAGAAAAGACTGGTGGCTGTAACGAGGGGCAGAGAAGAGCGGCCCAAGGCAGTCAGGTGGGGGCCAGCGGCCCCTGGGCCTGGGTGCTGGAGCTGCCTGGGGTGGCCCCACTCGGCCTGCACTGAGCCCGGGCCTCCCTCCTCTCCTTGTACCCCAGGCTGCCCGGGAGACTGCATCGCTTAGGACGACATCACGAACACAGGGAAACACCAACTCGCCCCGCCCCCGCACCACGGAGCATCAGCTGAGCAGGGTGAGCAGTACCAAGCCCTGTGGACATGGGGCACAGGCAGTCCACACCTGCTGCAAGAGGACACACAGTGAAGAAAGCAAGTGGGCTACGAGTAAAATATAAGAAATTATGAGCCATAATCTCTTATTGTATAAATGGCAGGTGCTACTCAAGAATCTGCTGGGGCACAGTGGGCTTTTCTATACCTTTGTTCTGTGGCCTTTTGCTTCCAGAAAGGAGCACAGGGCTGTGCACACGGTGTGATCATGCCACAACCCAACAGCCGGCGTCTGAGCTGCTCTCACAAGCCCAGGCATGGTGCTCTCTCAGTCACCAGCTGCCGGCCGCCAGAAAGGCCTGGCCCACCTGCACTCTGGCCAGGCTGCTGCTCCGTGTGACAGCTGCAAGTGGACTGCAATTCTCACAGAAATTATTTTTAAAAATGTTTACTTATTATTTTCATCAAGTGAGGGAGAGAGAGAGAGAGAGAGGCCTTCCATCTGCTGGCTCACTCCCCAAATGCCCACAGCAGGCTGAAGCCAGGAGACCAGAGCACCATCTGGGTCTCCCTCGAGGGTGGCAGGGCCCCAAGGACTTGGACCAGCACCTGCTGCCTCCCAGGAGCATCCACAGGAAGCTGGGTGGAAGCAGATGACCCAGACCGACGCAGGGATCCAACACAGGACGTAGGCATCGCCGGCGGGGGCTTGGCCGGGTTAGGGTTAGCACAGTACCCACTCCCTGGCAGCCGTGAGTGCTGTGAGGATCGAGATGCGGGGAGGTGAGGTCCCCCCGTCAGAACAGGGAGTCACAGCCAGTGCTGCTGGACACACAGCGACACTCTCCTACCTTAATTCCATGTTGTTGCTTGAGACAGACAGAGTCCCGTTCCCACAGCCAGCATGGGCAGCACGATGTGTCCAGTGTCCACAGACAGGTTCTCCATGGTCAGGCCACGGTGGGTTTGTGCATCCAGTGCTCAAGGGGCACCAACAAACAAGGGAGGAGTGAGGGACCCAGGAGCGAACTCCCCTGGGGCACAACAGATGCCTCAGGTAGTCAGCTGCACAGACGTGGGTGCAGGAACACGGGAGCCCTCTCGCTGTCCCCAGAGGTGCTGGGAAAGGACATCCCTGCTCCGGAGCCCCGCCCTGGCTCCCTCCTGTGCAGAGAAGGTGCTTGCTGGTGAGCTCTGGGGAGGCCGGCTGCAGGCAGGAGCACACACCGCGATGGGAGAGCACACCAAGGTGAGCTCCGGTACCAAGGCCATTCTCAGTGCAGCAGATAAAGTCCCACCCTTGGCTTAGAAAGGGCAGCCCAGGGGAGACGCTCGGCGCAGCAGTATGTGTGGAAAGTGGGTCTGGCTTGGCCACAGGCTCAGGACAAGCTAAGATGGGGCTGTCACAGAAGCACATGGGTGCAGGCTGCAGGCTGCCCGGCCCGAGCAGTCAGCTGAGCAGGGTGATCAGTGCCAAGCCCCGTGGACATGGGGCACAGGCCGTCCACACCTGCTGCAGGAGGACTCGTAGAGCTGCAAGGAGGCCATGGTCAACACAGAGGAAGCAGCTGAGGGAGGCATGAAGAGCAGGAGGGGGCAGCACACAAGCACAGGGTTCAGGTCTGGAAAGATCCGTCATATGGCAGGAGGTCTGGGGGCACGAGGTCCCAGAAGGGCGTCCATCCGCGGGCACACCCAGGCAGCCCTGGACATCACCGAGAGGCTGACACACCAGGTGCAGGGTGTCAGGTGCTCCAGAAGCCGCTCCCGGCCCCCAGGCTCTGACTCTGTACAGTGGGACCTGCTTTGGGCACAGAGTTTCTCTAACCTCACACTGCCCTGGGGAAGCTTCGGAGCTGTGAGGGCACAGTGTCTGAGGTTTTGCCCGTCAGACAAGAGCCCAGCAGGCACTGCCAGTCTGCAGATCACGCTTTGAGCAGAGAGAGTCTGGAACCTACCAATGGCACAGACAGGATCAGGCAGCTGTAGGGAGTCCCAGGGAGGCGGGAAGTCCAGCGTCAGACACACGGGAAGAGGGATGCCACCTGCCCCCAGCCATGTCCTGACCCTTTGCTTCTCTGAAACACACTTCACGCCCGCACTCAGGTCCCTGAGGCCCAGTTCCTCGTGTGTATGGTGGGAACGACCCGCATGGCTGGGGCACCAAGTAGCATCACAGAACAGGAGCCTGATTTGTCTCAGCCTCCTTACAAACCACTCAGCCAGCATCTGTCCCCTTCACTGTCAAGACGAGTTATTCTGGCCGGCGCTGTGACCTAGTGGGTTAACGCCCTGGCCTGCAGTGCCTGCATCCCATATGGTGGTGCTGGTTTGAGTCCCAGCTGCTCCACTTCTGCTCCAGCTCTCTGCTATGGCCTGGGAAAGCAGTAGAAGATGGCCCAAGTGCTTGGGCCCCTGCACCCATGTGGGAGACCCAGAAGAAGCTCCTGGCTCCTGGCTTTGGATCAGTGCAGCTCCAGCCATTGTGGCCAATTGGGGAATGAACCATTGGATGGAAGATCTCTCTCTCTCTCTCTCTCTCTCTCTCTCTGCCTCTCCATCTCTCTGTGAAACCCTGACTTTCAAATAAATAAATAAATCTTAAAAAAAAAAAAAACACGAGTTATCTAAGGAACATTTGTCCCAGGCCTGAGCTGTCCTTATCCCACATTTCCCAGGATGTCTGTCAGACCAGACCCTGTGACCAGGCAAGCATTGGAATCCAGCACCCCCGACCCCTGGGAGTGGGGCTAACGTTTTCCCAGATGGGACAATCCCTGTGCAGGCATCAGGCCGGTAACTAACAAGATTCCAGAGGGTTTCTCTGCCACAGGGTGTGGGCAGAGTCCCAGTGTTCTCACGCTGAGACCAGCCCCAGGGGCCTCATGGACAGCCAGGGTTACGCTGCCCTGCACAGGGGAGGGCCAAGGGTACAGATGCCCTGGGCCAGGGTCCGGGCCGCCGCAAGCAGAGATGCCCAGTAAAGCGCCCACACGGTCCAGCGGTCAGCACCGGAACTGCAGTGCCCAGATTCCTCCCCGTTGGTGCGCGCTCGTCCTGCTTCCCAATCTTGTCCCCTCCACGCCACGGACCCGCCACCTGGACAGCACATGACCTGGGGTTCGAATTCAGAGCCCACCAGCGTCCGAGTCTCGGTTTCATGTCTTTATTTGGGGGAGGGGTGATGCTGCCCTCCTGGATCGCCTGAAAAAGTTGAATCAGACACAAGCGCAAGGCACGCGGTTGCCCAAGGAAGGCTCCCGGACGCTGGGGTCTTCCGCACTGTTCTGCGGCCACAAACCACGGGGCGCGGGCTGCGGGGGCCCCGGGGGCTCCAGTTCCGGGGACGCAGCCTGGGTCCCTCCGGTAGTTGGAAGTCTCCGGCCCCGAGGCTCCCAGCCCGGCTTCCTCTCTGCGGCCTCCCCTGTGCGCCCACTCCCCAGAACGTCCAGCCAACTCCTGGGGGCGGGGGGCAGTCGCCCAAATCACGGCCGAACCCCGGGCTGCGCCCTCGGCCGCCGCGTCCTGCCCTCCAGCAGCCGCCGCCGCCGCGCAGCCGCCCGCAATGCAGACGCGGGCGCCCCAGCCCGCCCCGCCCCTCTGCCGCTTGCCGCGCGGGTGTCAAGCGGGTCCCGCGCTCCCCGGCGCCAGGCCCCGGCCTCGGCGCCTGCAGCCCCCCGCCCCGGGGGTGGGGCGTCCCTCGCGCCTCCCCGCCCCGCCCGCCCCTATGAATGTGGCGCCGCGCGCCATGCCCGCCTACCTCCCGCCGCGCAGACGGCTCCCGGGACACAGCTGCGCCACGCCGCCCTGGTCCTCCCCGCGCGCGCCGGCCGGCACCTGACGTCCTCAGCGCCCCGCGGGCCCGCGGCGAGACCCGGCTGCCCTCCCCGCTCGGCCGCCCAAGGGACCTTCGAGAGCACGCGCCGAGGAAGGAGTGCGCGGCGCCCGCGCACAGCACCCGCGCCGCCAGAGCGCCGGGGCCGGCTTCACTGCCCCGCCGGGTGCGGGCAGAAGTTCGCGAGAGGGGAGTCCGACTGCGAGGTAACGGCCCCTTCCCCGGGCGCCCAGTCCCGCAGCCAGGCTGCCCGGTCTGCGTGCGATCTGCGTGCGCGGTCCGCCGCCCCGCCCCCGCTTGGGCAAACTTTCTGCGGGCGGCCCCCGCGGAGGGGTCTGGGGGCGTTAGGATGGGGCGCCGGGGGACGCCCTCCTCAGGCTCCCTCCGACTTCGTCTGCGGGCCCGAGGCCGCAGGCGGGAGGTGGGCGCCGACCCCCGCCGTGGACCTGGCTCTGGACAGGGTTCCTCCTCCCGGGAGCCCCAGGCCTGTCGGGCAGCGATGCGCGCTGAACGCCAGGCACCCCGAGGTGCCGGGGGAGGCACCGGCCCCACTGGCCGCACACCCGGCTTGCTTGTGTCCCCCAGGGCCGTAGGCGCCCAGGGCTGGGGACAGGGAGGCTGCGAGCGGCCCTGGGGCGAGGGGACCCCGTCCCCGGTGCACGGGGACGCGACCAGAGGCGGTTGCTCCTCAGAAGAAGCCGGCGGTGGAGGGGTCGGAGGCCGTCGGAGCGGCCAGGGGCTGCTCGGGGGCGCGGCGACTCCTGCGAGCGGCCGGGCGGGTGTTCCGAGTTGCCTTCTCCGTGGTCGCCTTCCTGCGGCGTCTCAGGCTCGTCCCAGTGCCGCCGGGGGCTGAGGAGGAAGGGGCGGCTGCGGGGTCCCGCTGCCCCGTTTCCTCTCTGATGAGGGGAGGGGCCATGGGAGGCGCTGGCGCTTTGTAAAGCACGCGCTCGCTGTCCCTAAGGGTTGGGCCAGAGTCCAGCCTCGCACCCTCACCCTAACCTTTCCTGCCCAGTGGTTGTGAACGGAGCCCCCGCAGGCGGAGAGACCCCCGGCCCCGGGGCTGGCTGGGGTTGGGGCGCCGGCGCGCTCCCGGCCTGGAAGAGAGACCGCAGAAGGAGGGATGTCCCCCGCCCGGGTTCAGACGCGTCTGTGGCAAGGGCGAGAACGCAGGGGTCCCGTGCTCCTCCGGATGAATTTTTAGTGAAAATCGCCCTTACCCTGGGATGCCCCCTCCTCTCCTTCCTGGGTGTGGCATGGGGGCCTGGGCAACCCTGTAGGTCACTGAGCCTCGGGGAGGCTTTGAGAGGACATGCTGTGTGTCCCGCTCTCCGTCACCCCTGGGGCCCTTGGGGTGAAATGGGGCTGTGCCAGGGATGGGGTGCTCTGCCTCAGTGAGTGTCCCAGCTCTGGTGTGAGTTTTTAGGGGGCCTGCTGGCTCTGGGCTCCTCCCAAGTCCCTTCGGGTTGGACCCCAAGAGACCCTGTACTGAGATCCCATGAGGATCTCTCTCCAGCCTGGGGTTTGTCCACGAGCAGATGGCAAAGGCAGTGTGGCAGGGATTGTAACGGAAGAGGAAGAACAGGCGCTCCCTCCGGCTCGGCGGGAGTGGGAGTGCGCGCTGCCGCTGGGCACTTGTTTCTCTGATGCGGGCTTCACCGCCCTCTGTGACGCCCGCCGGCTTGCCGTGTTTTCCTTTGTCTGAAAGGCAGAGTGACGCACGGAGAAAGGGGCAGAGATACCACCCTTCCCTTGGTTCACTCCCCAAATACCTGCAACATTTGGGGCCAACAGGGACCCAAGCCCCAGAGCTATCATTGCTGCTCCCAGGGTGCCCGACAGCAGGAAGCTGGATGGGACGGAGCTGGGACTCAAACCCAGGCTCTCGGATTTGGTAGGCAGGGATCCCCCCGCCCCCCGGTGCCCACCCTTACACCTTGTATATTTGCAACATGTGTTTCTTACTGAAGGTTGTGGCCAAGACGGTTCTGTCTCTGGGAAGCCCTTGCTGTGGGGGCCGGTGTCTAGGGGTGAAGGCAGCTGGAGCCGGGAGCTGGAATGGCTGTGAGAGCCGAGCTCAGGAAAGAGGCCCCCCGAGCCAGAGGGGAAGTGAGGTGTGGAAGACAGGCTGCTGACCCAGGCAGGCGCTGGGTCCCCTCCGGGAGTCCTGTGGGAGGGGGCACCTCCCTCCCCCCACAGCCCCCACCCCTCCTGGAGAGGGGTCCTGGACCCTGGGCACGGTTGGGATGGAGAGACCTGCAGAGGGACACAGGTATGCAGGCCGGAGGGCGAGAGAGGGGACCCATAGGGAAAGTGGCCACATAGCTCCTGTTTTCAAAAGTTGAATTCAGGGCAAGAACGGAAAGTGCTGAGTTTACTTTTAAAAACTCAGAGCCTCCTTGTAAGCAACCGTGCGCGCGCGCGTGTGTGTGTGTGTGCGCGCGCGTGCGCGTACGTGTGTGCGCGTGCGTGCGCCAGAGGCCGGCCTGCGGGCTGGCTGGGGCGTGTGTGAGGCGGCTCCATTCCCTCTCAATGGCCCTACAGTGTGTCCTAAAGGAGCTTTTTGTTAGACTCAGGGTGGGTGGACTTGGGGTGTGTGGCTCTGGGCATCAGTGTGGCTGTTTGCTCACCTCTGCGGGTCCGTGTTTTCCTTCCAGACACACCCAGGCGTGAGCCACGGCTCCTTCGTGGGCCTGCTCGGGGGAGGGGGTGTTGCCTGGCTGGACCTGGGGTACCCCTCTCTGGGGAGACTGCAAGGTGACCCAGCAGGGTGAGGACTGTGCCCCGGCCACCCCAGAGCAGTCCAGGAAGGGTCCAGATGGCGGTGCAGCCTCAGCCCTCCTCCCAGAACATGCCCGGTCTACAAACCATCCATCCATCTATCCATCCATCCATCCATCCATCCATTCATCCGTTCATTCATCCGTGCTCTGTGGGTGCGGCACTAGTCAGCTCTGTCTTCCTGTCCTCTCCCGCTGGTGATCTGACGGGGACGCTGCAGGCTGCCTGGCCCCGGCCCCTCGTTTCTGTAAAGCAATGGTTTTGGACTGGGACTGCTCCCTCTACCCCGGGAACACTGGTGGTGTCTGGAGACCGTCTTGCTGTCACTCTGTGGGGGGGGGGGGCACTGCCAGGCTGCAGGCCAGGGGTGTTGCTAGCCACTCTGCAGCATACAAGACGGCCCCACTGTTGGAAGTGTCGAGGTCCGGAGGCTGCTCTGGACCTTTGGTCCCTGAGTGGCGGAAGCCTGGGGTGGGAGGGCAATAACAAAGACGGGGTGGGGAAGGCAGGTCCGTGTTCAGCAGACACTGGGTTGTGGCCGCTGGAGCCAGGTTGAAACCCTGTGTGCCCTCAGGCCAGTCACAGCCTTTCTGAGCCACTGTGGAAGGAGCTGCACAGAGTAGACTGTGTACAGCAACTGAGACTGTCATCCTCAGGCCTGTAACGGTGCTGCCTTGGAAAATTACAGCATCAGCAGGTGCACACTCATGATCTCCAAGCAGCTTTGCCATGGTAGAGACTTAAGCTTGGCGTGGGGGCAGGGGGTGGTGTGGCCACATGGTGGCCAACAGGGCATGTGTGTGGGAGGGGTGCTGACCGCCTGTGGGACAGGGACACTGCTCCGTCTCTCTGACTTTGGCCCCTCTGTGAGCTGGACAAGCGCTGGCTGGCAAGGTCCCTTCCTCCCTGTCCCTAAGCCACAACAGAACGGTTGAATGAAGGAACGCACGTGGCACCGTGCATCCCTTTCAATTCTGGGCATGGGCACCCTCTGCTTGCAAGGCTGAAGTCAGGTCTCTGGTTCCAGCCCCAGGCAACAGTGCCCTCTGGGGGACACTGTGGGTTCAGCACCGGCGCTGGACAGCACTGGGCGGTGAAGGTGGGGGCAGAGGCTGGGGAAGCCCCGCTCACTGAGGGAACCAGACCAGGTCAGGGACTGGGCTTGCCCAGGGCAGACAGCCCAGTGATGCCTCCATTTTCCTCTCTGTGAGATGGCGTTGAAGTCACAGCAGGTTAAGACCTCAGCAAAAGCCACCAGCAAGGAGTGGATTTGGTAAGTCACCATGCGTCCCGAAGCTTGCTTCAGTCAGAGAACCTGGAGCAGAGGGGGCCTGGGGGGTCACCCCAGTGCCTTGTTACACAGATGGGGAAGGCAGTTGGTGGGAGTGGGGGCGTGGCATGGAGCCTGGGCTCCCGCCCTGACTTCCGAAGCCCCTCCCTCAGACAGATGAGAAGGAGGAGGTACCAAGTCTCAGAGCCCAAAGGTTCAGCCCATCTCCCTTCCCTCAGAGACCCCTCCTCTCCTCCCTGCTCCCCCCACCGACTTCTCCTGCACGTGCAGATGGCTCAGGGCACGTGCGGATTATGGGAAGACTCAGAGGGCTGTGTCTCACCTTCCCAGGTACGAGAAGGGGGCTGGGGGCAGCATCAGAGCTGGCCCCAAGAGGAGCCTGCAGAGCCTCTGTGTCGGGGCAGGCATGGAGGGGAGGCGGCCGGCCTGTGGGTGTCCAGTTGCCCTGGAGGGTCTACTGCAGCCTGGTCTGTGAGCCCACCCCCAGAACGTCCAGGGCAGTTCCCCTGGAGGCGGCACTGTTTCCAAGGCCCTGGCTCTCGCCCTGCCCTGGGGATCACTCACCACCGTCTGTGCTTCCCCTCTTTCCTGTCTGGGACAGGGTCTGTGTCCACCATACAGCTGTCCTTGGCCTTGGGCGCTTTGTCCCCAGGAGCCAGGCTGGGATGCCAGGGCCGAGGGTTCCCCCTCCAAGGGCAAGGGACGTTGTCCAGGCTGAGGTGGGTCCCTGCCTGCAGGGAGGGGTGGAATCACCAACGGGTCTGATTGGGATGCAGATGGGGTTGGGGTCAGGATCCTGCAGCAGGGCCCAGGGCCTGGGGCACCCAGGGGAAGGAGACCCCTCCTAGGACCGCCCACCTGTGTCCCCGCCCCCTTGCTGACCCTGTTTCCAGCTCGCATCCACCTGCAGCCAGCCTGTGAAGGTTGGGGGCTCATTTTTTTTTAATTTATTTGACAGGTAGAGTTATAGACAGTGAGAGAGAGACAGAGAGAAAGGTCTTCCCAGCTGCCCCTACCTGGAAAACCAAGGGCCCTGCCTGGCTGTTGCCCTTGTTTGCTGGGCGGCTCTGGGTGAAGTCTCTGGAAACGTTCACGAATAGCACGGGGTCCCCTGTAGCTGAGCCAGGGCCTGACCAG